CACCACCCACCAGGCCGAGTGTGTGAAATACAACGTGCGCACCAACATCCGTTACCACCTTGCCACCAGCACAGTGTCCACAGAGCTGTACAATCTGGCCAACACACCGACGCCCTCCTACGTCAACTTCACCGTGCCCTTGCCTCTGGACGCCCAGATCTCCAGTCTGTCTGTGTGAGTGCACGTTATACATAGTTTTGTTTTAGTAAGAGTTTTACGGCGCTCGCAACTGCATAAGGTCATATGAGCGCGCACGTTATACTTATACATAGAGAACTGTCTGTGTGAGTGCATGTTATACATACAGAACTGTGAGTGCACGTTATACATAGAGAACACTGTCTGTGTGAGTGCATGTGATATATAGAGAACTGTCTGTGTGAGTGCACGTTATACACAGAGAACTGTCTGTGTGAATGCACGTTATACATAGTTTTATTTTAGTAAGTGTTTTACGGCGCTCGCAATTGCATAAGGTCATATGAGCGCGCACATTATATATAGATAACTGAGTGTGTTTTTGTTTTGTTTTAGTAGAGGTTTTAAGGCGCTCGCAACTGCTTAAGGTCATATGTCAACAAAGAAGTCCCTACAGGGAATCAGGTTTACTCTGCTCACTGCTCAACTCTCTAGCTTCAAAAGCAGAAAGTCTGCTTTAAATATCAAGGCACCCCGAAATGAGCGGTTCAGAAGAGTGTGACAAACATACAAAAGAAGTAGAGGAAAATGACGATAGTAAAAATTAGGAAAGAAAAATCAGCAGTTCCCTGTTGCCACTCTGGCACAGTTATGAGCATGACATTGATGAATCAACCCATTTGCAATTCTACTGTGCATAAGAACATATTAATATCCCCCCCCCCCCACTTGGGAATGGCCTAAAGATACTTCAGTCTGTAGCACCGCCCCGGGGGCTTAGAATATCTATGGAGTATATTCGGTCTTTCTGCTTGGGTGTCGTATCCCTCTCAGCTGACAGGCTAGGCCGAAGCGCGTCTCCTACATGATCTAAATTGTGTCGATGGGGGCCTAAAACACCTTCATTAAAAAGTTTCTCTAACATCACCATCATCATCATCCCGTGCCAGATCTGCTACAGACATCGGCGACCATGGTTCTCCATTCTATCCTTTGCTCGGATTCTCTTAGAAAAGCTACGTTTCACTGATCTTTCCCCGTTACCCATTTGTTTAGGTTCCCTAAGTAGGTTACTTTGGGCTTACCAGTGCCTCGTTGGCCTTTGATTTTGCCAGTGAGAGCTAGATATTCAAGACCTTTATGTCTGTACAGGTTGTCCAAAAACTGCATTTATTGTCGTTTCCGGATTGTTTTTAACAGTGAGAATCCCACATGGGCTTCATCAAGTACCTACTCATTTGATTTCTTTTCCTTCCACGATATTCTCAGCAGTCTCCTAAGAAACCACATTTATGTTGCTTTTATTGAATTTTCACTGTCTTTAGTGATTGTCCAGCATTCTGTAACACTAACAGAGGAGTGAATTATCTGTTCCTGTGTTCGCTTCGACAACTGCGTCAGTTTGCTCAGCTTGCTACATGAAAGGTTCTTTTGCTTCTCTCTTCCTTCTTCCCCCTCCATACCCTCACCCCTTCCACTCCCTCC